CTCATAAGTTTAATAAACAGCATAGTGCCGAAGTCTCTCCGCTGTTTTTGTGCTTCTTGGGTAACCCCATCAAAAACAATTGAGACGTTCTTACCAAAGTGGTAATTCGCGTAGGTGGTGTAGCCCGAGACAACTGATGCTACTGAACTTTTCCGCTGCCAGACCACTTTGTGCAGACGATAACCACCATCTAAGAGACGTATTTTTTGGCGTCTATTAGTTTGTATGAGAGAGGAGAGAAAGCAGAATAGAGTGAGGCTTTTTCTGCATCCCATGCTCTGTAAACAAAGACAAAGGGAACGGGCCATTTTGTACTTGAAGTATTCCTGTAAATAATTGTCCGACTGTTTAGTTATGCAAACTCGCTGAAATATTGTAACTGGATCAATACCTACATTATTGTTGGACAGTTTAATAGATCCTGTGTGTAAAGCCAATGTTGCCACTTGGTTTCTCCGTTTGAAAGCTACTTTGTCAAAGGGTTTCCCAACGATGAGCTTCACTCCTTCTGTTCCAAGTATTTGGGCCATGTGACAATTTATCTCAAGAGCTCCCACTAAACCACTACTGAAAGACATCAGTCAGTAACTTTAAATGGCTGGTGAAGTTTTAACCAGGTTCTGAGTTTATCACATCATGGCTATCTCGAATGATACGAGCAGGCCTCATATCCATATGCTGTTCTCCAGTGGGACAAAGGATATACAGAAGCTTTCTAATACTTCACATAATTATGTTTATCATTGAGCGGAGCGAGCGAAGCTCTTATACGTCGACTTTTATGCATTTCGTAATACGCAAACTCCTCCTAGACGGCTGAATCAATCGTTTTCAAATTTTGCATGGTGATAAAGACCATACCAGTGAGTGCCACCATCCATATAGCGTTAAAAAAAGTCTCTCAGGAATCCGCCCCACCGGGTCTCAAAGTTTCAATGTAATCCTTATGGAAGCAGTATTTGACACATAAACGACATATGATCAGCTGTTGACTTTTGAATGCAGTAGATAAATAAATAGCTGATAGCATTATTCCACAGTCATTAGAACATAAACGGTGGTATGGATCATAAATATAATCAAACGACTCCACTAGCTTGAGGTCCGTGACGTAGAAAGTGGTGAAGGAAGTAGTAAAGGTGAGCAGTCTGGAGTGTGGAAACTGTTTAAGACGATTAGATTTAGGTAGGTATCTGCATTCCTAAAATTCTATGGGAAGGGAGGGAAACGGTGTATGACGTAGGAAGTGGTGAAGGAAGTAGTCAAGGCGAGCTGTCCGTAGTGTGGGAACTGTTTATGACAATTAGATTAAGGTATCTGCAATCCTAAAATGTTATTGGAAGGGAAGGAAACAGGTCTACGACGTAGGATGTGGTGAAGGAAGTAGTAAAGGCGAGATGTTTGGGGTATGGGATCTGTTATGACCGTTAGATTAAGGTATTTGCAATCCTAAAATGCTATGGGAAGGGAGGAAAACAGGTCCGCGACGTAGTAAGTGGTGAAGGAAATAGTCAAGGCAAGCTGTCCGGAGTGTGGAAACTGTTTATGACTATTAGATTAAGGTATCTACAATCCTAAAATGCTATGGAAAGGGAGGAAAACAGGTCCGCGCGATGTACGAAGTGGTGAAGGAAGTAGTAAAGGCGAGATGTTCGGGGTATGGGATCTGTTTATGACCATTAGATTAAGGTATTTGCAGTCCTAAAATGCTATGGGAAGGGAGGTAAACAGGTCCGTGACGTAGAAAGTGATGAAGAGAAGGGAGCAGTAAAGGCGAGTTTTTCGGAGTGTGGGAACTGTTTATGACGATTAGATTAAGGTATCTGCAATCCTAAAATGCTATGGAAAGGGAGAGAAACATGTCCGTGACGTAGGAAGTGGTGAAGGAAGTAGTAAAGGCGAGTTGTCCGGAGTGTGGGAACTGTTTATGACGATTAGATTAAGGTATCTTGGTATCTACAATCTTAAAATTCTATGGGAAGGAGTCTCAAAATGTAGCGAATTTTATCCAGACTAAGAAATAATAAGGCAACACTTTCTGTCAGAGGTATACTTTAGGAGATATTTAGCAAAAAGTAAAAGAAGTGCACAATTTTTACGGTTTTTTTGCTACTACGCCGGTAGCAGTAGCACAGGTCTTTCGCACTGAGCTATAATAATAACTGGAGTAACCACTCTGTGTTTTAAAAACGTACCACTGTTTTTGCTGTTTTTGTTTCAGAGTTTCGTTTCGTTACGTTGGCCGGGTGATCGGATTGGTGGAACTTGTCAAATTAGAGACAAAATCAAGATGGCGTCATCCTGTTTTGTTGATGATAGTAAACAAAAATCTGCCAACTCAACATTATGTTGCAATATACGTTTATTTATTTATTTTACGAGCAAGATCAACCCATTTTAACAAGATCATAAACCGATAGTCGTTATTTAATCAAATGCCATAGGGCTGTTGGCCTAAACCAATATCTCCAACGCAGAGGATACGCGTCCGGTAACCGGACGTGGATTAGGCGTCCGGCAGTTACTGTCATAATCTAACCTAACCAACCAAACTTGCTGATAATTAAAAAATCAAATGAAGGTTCAATTATCTTCATAACATAATATTATAAATGCCAAAAATTCTAACAAAAGATGTACAGTTAAGAAGAAATTACATTCAAAGCAAAATCTGTGACAAAAAGTTAAGAAACCGATGGGTTTCGAACCAGGGACCTCTAGGATATCAGCCGAGCACTCTATCCACTACACCAATACAGAAAGGCTTTTGATGTAGTACCTCATGATATCCTCCTGCTAAAACTGGGAAAGTATGGCGTTGGCGGTGTTGTTCTCAAGAGCCTCTCAAACTATCTGAAGGACCGTAAGCAAGTTGTATCTCTGCGAGGAGCCCTTTCCAGCATAGGCCATCTCTCACACGGCGTGCCACAGGGATCTGTCCTCGGCCCTCTCCTTATTTTTACTATAATGATCAACGACCTTCATCTGAGTGGGAGAACATTATTATTTGCAGATGATACAAACTGCTGACTAGAGGTGTAAATATTCACCAACTGCCAACAGAGGCTGAAGACTTGCTCGAGAGAGCCAAGGATTGGTTTGTTGTAAACCACTTGAAAATCAACGATGACAAAACCCAGTCCCTGGTTTGTACGCTGAAGCGGAGAGAAGGGGAAGATGGCAATGTAAAGCTTCTGGGATTTACATTAGATACCAGAATAAGTTGGAGCGAACACATTGCGCAGACATGTGTCAAGTTATCTCGTGTGCTCCATCTCCTAAGAAAACTTACGTCAGAAATTCCTAGATCATCTCTCCTATCCGTGTACCACGCCTTGTTTCACAGTCATGTGACTTATGGACTTGTACTTTGGGGGCACTCCTCAGCAGCTGAGGATATACTTCTCTTACAAAAAATGGCCTTGAGGATTGTTACATCTGCTGGGTATTTGGACCATTGCCGGCCAATCTTCAAGGAACTAGGGGTGCTCACAGTATATAGTCAGTATGTTTTGGATATTCTAATCCTACTAAAGAACAACTTGAGGGATTACAGTAAGAGAGAGGAGGTGCATGATTACCATACTAGGAAGGCCCATAACATCGACGCTCCCCGCTGCCGTCTCAGTCGTACCTTGAGTTGCTATCCCCGTTCAGCGATCAGAATATTTAATACTCTGCCTACCCAGATGCGGGAGATGGATGTGCCATCCTTCAAGAGGGAACTAAAAGGGATACTTGCTAATAGACCGCTCTACTCCCTTAAAGAACTCGAGGATGAGCCCCTTGTAAAATAGCGTATGTCCGCCTTGCCATACAATAGACGGCCAAGTTTTTTTTTATAGTAGCCATTTTTATGGTTTTGTAAATATTGTATATAGTTTTATTTTATCTGATTATATTATAAATTATGACGCAATCTATCAGACTAGATCTGTCAAAGATGCAGGATTCAAGTATTTAAGTAAGTATTCAAGTATTCACGAACAACGCTGACCGAACATCGTATCGTTGTGGTAATGGCGTTCCGGGACCCCACAACCCGGTGACGTCACTACCGGACGCCTAATCCGCGTCTGGTTACCGGACGCGTATCCTCTGTGTATCTCGCAAACCAGGAATCTTGACTAGCCTATTTTCACCACATAGCTTGAAAAGAGGTAAATAAGTTAGTATTTATTTACTATCAAACAAAAACAATTTATAATGTTTCAAAATAACTTTAAATACAGAGGTTTTAACGTGCAATAATTTAAATAAGTTTTTGATACAAGTCCTTGAAATAACGGATAACATAACCCCAAATAAATAGTATGGTTAGGTTCGAATGAATTGAAATTATTTGGTATTTACTCAGGGGAGGTACAGAAGAGGCTACGATGACAGCTGTGGGCTTCTTATTAGCTGAGGGAACGCCATTACCGTAACAAAACGGTCGAAAGCCATCGGCCTCGGTGGTCTAATGGTTAGCGTGCCGGGCTGATACAGTAAGTCCCGGGTTCGAATCCTGCTGATAGCATTAACTTTTTGTCCAAGATTTTTTTATTATCAGCTAGTTTGGTTGGTTTGGTTCGGTTATTACAGTTTAATTTTATTATTAAGTCATTATAAAATTTTAATTGAGCAATTTCTAGTTTTGTTTAATAAACATAATTATTTTTCCGATTACTAAACTGTTGTTATATTATTTCTTTATCAGCAAGTTTGGTTAGTTCGGTTAGGTTATGATAGTTTAATTTTATAATTAAAAATAATAAAATTGAATTTGAGGCATTTATAATTTTAAATCATGAACAGAACTATTTTTTTCGATTAGTAAACCTTCATTGCCAAAGTGCTCTCTACTACAGCGCTGTTCACGGAGGAATTTTGAACTAAATGCCTCATTCGTACCTCCCCTAAGTCAGACCCAAATTATTTGACAGCATCCCACCAACCGATCACACGGCCAAGCCAACCTAACAACACGAAACACCAAAAATAAACCAGCCAAACAGAGTGGCACGTTTTTCTCTAACGTTTAACCAGAGAGTAGTGACTCCAGTTTATAATATATATCTCAAAATGGTCTTTCGAAGCTGCAAACTTGGTTTCTAACTTGTGGTATACTGTAGGCCCTAACAACATACTAAAAAACCAGAACTACATGAACTTTTGCAATTTGCACACACGGATGTTTTACTTGACTGGACTATAGTGTAAATAAACAGAAGGCGATTAGTCATAGAAAGAAGAATAAAAACTAATTTGTCAAAGTTGTCGTCTGCGTCTGCAAGATTTTTGTTTACAAAATCTTAATTTGGTTATAGAATTTTGTCTGATGTGATGAACTCCTCTATCGAATACACCTTCATTTGTTACTATGGTTGGGTCGGCTGCTAAATAATAAAATCATCAACAAGGTAAGGCATATTTTATTAATGATATCAGGTTTACACTTTGTTTAGGAATCCTAATACAATAACTTACCAGGCAACCTAGTTTAGCATAGATTATTGATACAAATCAAGAGAATTTTTAATTAATTGGCTCAGCAATAAGCTTAATGCTATATATTTTCCGTCCTCTGAAAAAATGAATAATGAATACCTACTTTTCTCTTGTAAAAAAATACCTGCACCAAACTTAGCCTATGCCATAATTTGCTTCTTCCAACCTCTCACAATAAGTAACCTACCAACAATATCTAAACTCCTAGAACGTATCGTCTACAATTAACTAGTCCACCACCTCGAAATCTACAACTTAATAACAGAACAACACAGCATGGATTCAGGAAGGGTAGAAGCACCAACATCGCTATTAGTCAACTTTGTCATGAAATAAAAAACAAATATGGGAAGATAAAAATCTGCCTCAGGCCTATTTCTTGATATGCAAAAGGCCTTCGACACTATTAAGTTTAACCCTTAGAGTGCCAGGCGAGAAATAAAAGTAGGTAACGCTCAAAAAATGCCGATGATTTTTCCCGAAGGTCGCGTTAAAAAGCCGAGCGCGATCTGGCGATTTTTAGGTTAAAATTTTGTAAAAATCGAATTTTCGATATATTTCGACCAACGAAAATCGATGTATCGCATCTAGTAACTTTCGACTCGAATGTTAATATATGGGTTAAAAGAATCCGAGTATCCATTCGGTTGTTATGACAACTGTTCGATCATTACGAAACGTCCGGTCAGCCGGACGTTGGCACTTTTGGCTCGTTCTAAAAACGTCCGGTCGGCCGGACGTCGGCACTTTTGGCTCGTTTTAAAAATGTCCGGTTCCCCGGACGTTGGCACTCAAAGGGTTAATTGGGAAATATTAATTTAAAAAATAACCTACTTTAATATAAAGGACAAAGCATTAGACTGGATTAAACACTACCCAACTATGAGAGATTTCAATTTGTTGTAGATGAACAAATGAAAAACAATGCAATACTAAAGACCAATTCTTCCTTAAAACAGTCCAGGAAAGGAGTTCCCCAAGGCTCGATACTGGGGCCCCTTCTTTTCCTACTATATATCAACAGTTTCCCAGAACAACTTGAAAATGAACAAAAATGCATACAATTTGCAGATGACACAACAATCCTAATCCCCCACATAAATCCTCTCAACAAAAACACAATAGCAAATTCAACCCTGGAAAACGCAATATCAATCTGTCAATCAATAGACCTCAAGATTAACAAAAATAAAACAATACACATAAACTTCACTCCATCCAACAAAATTAGACAGGAAAACGACAACAACTGGAAAGATCTGGAAGTACCAACAGCTAACTCCACAAAATTTCTTGGAATCATTTTAGACAATCACCTGAATTGGCAAGAACATATAGAATTTCTATGTAAAAAGTTAAATTCCTCGCTACATGACATAAGAAGAATAAGAACACCGACAAATAAAGAAACTGCATTCAAAGCATATCACTCATTTTTTGCATCACACATTAGATACAGAATCACCGCATGGGGAGGAGCAGCATCAGCAGCCAACATCAACAAAATTTTTGTTTTACAGAAGGAGGCTTTAAGATCAATACTGAGACTAGAGGACCCCCTGGAACACTGCAAGCCATATTTTAAAAAACACCATATCCTCACCATAATCTCAACCGACATCCTCGAAACAGTTATCCTAGCAAAAAACTCCTCACCACTTTTCCGCCAAAATCAACATACCGTACTCATTTCACCAGACATAGATCCGAAATTGACCTACCGCAACACCGTCTTAAAAAATCTAGTAACACTCCACTACCAGGGTGTCCACATTCTGGAAAGTCAGGGATAGTCATGGAAAAAAATTTTGGTCATTGAAAGTCAGGGAAATAGGCAAGAAGTCATGGAAAGTCATGGAAATTTCCAATTATGGATGGATTTGAGGGGACCATTCAATGCTCTAGTCAGCCGTAACCCGGACTGTTGTACCTAGCATTTTTCAGGATTTTTCACAAATTTTCGACAATTCAATTTATTACAGTTGTATTATTTTATGAGTTTTCGGTTTGTTTTAGTTCATTTTTGTACCTATTGTACTCCATTGTTATCTGTTATTACATATTTCAGTATTTTCTGCAAAATAACATGTCCAGGCAGTATTATTTGTGTGTGTATGTTATATTATAATTTGCATGTAAAGTTCGTGAGTCATGGAAATCAATGGTAAATGGTCATGGATAGTCATGGAAAGTCATGGAAATTAATGACAAATCTTTTGTAGACACCCTGACTACATACAGGGTCACGTTCCTTCAACCTACTTCCAGATCACCTAAATTCCTTAAACAACAACAGAAAATTTGCCTGTAAATTAACACAATACCTACTTGACAGACCATATTACACCATCACTGAATTCATTGAAGAACACACCTTTCAACATCTAAGAACTTACATTGCCTAACACACAATTACACAAAGCCTACAGCAACAAAAACAATTATCATTCTACAGACAAGGAGTGAAGAGATGAAATTGAAGAGATGAAGAAGATGACGACTCCCCTTTCCTTGGATAGTGGCGAGGACTTTGGATGGTAAATGGTAATTGGTAAATACCCCCACAGTATCATAGGCCCAGAATGACTAAAGTTTGTGGTTGGCCTGGTTTTAACTCATTTGTTTGTGACATGGTTGTATAATGTTGTATAAATTTCGCTGTAGCCTATCCTTAGTGATGCAGTACTACATGTTACTGTTAAAAATGATATGAGATAGGCCTTTAACTGATAATGCATTGACACCATTTGCAGTTAGTCACCAGCATGGTTGTTCATCGAGGCTCTTCATGGGATGCCTCGCCTGACACTTCGCACCGTTCTACACTTCAAGCAATTAATCAAAACACTCTTTCTTCAGATGATGCCACTTCCATTTGCAAACTAAATTCAGAGGAACAAGATTCTGTAGAATGGGTAAGCAATAATCTTCAGTCATTGTATCATACTTGAAGATTTATTTCAGAGTGATTAAAGAATTTAGATACTGATGGATAAACTTAGATTGAACGATAGATGTAGATAGATAATTAAGAGAGAAAAACTAGATGATGTTTTTAGTGGACTGTATTTCTTTAAACTGAACAAAAAGTAAACATGATATAAAATAAGACCAGCTGTTAGAAACAGTGAATTAGAAAAAATAACTTTAAACATTCTCCCCCCCATTGCACCGAAGGAGCAATAAATATTAATCACTGACTTCAATTGGAAGAGGACAAAGCTTGACTATTGGTCTTTTCAATGAGGTACTTGATGTTCTCAGAGTGGCTACTCGGGTAAGTCCATCACGACCTGGATGAAGTTCAGTCACTCTTGCTAGCGGCCACTTTGATGGTGGTAATTGCTCATCAACAACAAGAACAACTGATCCGAGTTTTATTGAACAGGAAGGAAATCTCCATTTGTATATTGCTTGAAGTTGTTGAAGGTACTCCCGAGACCACTTCTTCCAAAATGATTCCAACATTTGGCGAGTTAATTTCCATCGAGTAAGTCTTGATGTGGGTTGGTTTTCTTGATTAGGTTCTGGGATAGTAGTTAAAGATTCGCCAACTAAAAAATGCGCAGGGGTTAGGATTGCTAGATCGTCTGGATCTTCTGTAAGCTGGCAGAGAGGGCGAGAATTGAGTACAGCTTCTATTTGTACCAGCACTGTCGAAAATTCTTCGTAAGTTAGTAGGTGGGTCTTCATAACTCTTTTGAGATGGTATTTAACTGATTTAACACCAGCTTCCCAATGACCTCCAAAATGTGGAGCAGCAGGAGGGTTGAATTTCCATTCAGTTCCATCATTAGCAAGCAGGGGTTTGAGTTGACCTGATTCTGCTGAAGACGATGTATACAACCTTTTCAGTTCTTTGTCAGCTCCTACAAATGTTGTCCCGCAGTCACTCGTTAAAGTAGCACAGATGCCTCGACGGCTGGTGAATCGTTTGTAAGCCGCTATGAAGGCTTCTGCTGAGTAGTTGGAAACCAACTCTAGATGAATAGCTGAGGTCGCCGAGCAGATGAACACCGCAATATAACCTTTGTAGGTTTTTGCTCTCTTTCCATGCCATGTTTTGATTACAAAAGGGCCTGCGTAATCTACACCAGAGTGCAAAAAGGGACGTGATGGTGATGTTCTTGTAGGAGGAAGCTGCCCCATTAATTGTTGAGCTCTTTGAGAGCGATAACGAGCACAAGTAACACACTTTAACAGTTCTCGTTTGACGATAGGTCTACCTCCAACAACCCAGAACTTCTGACGAACGGTTGCAAGTGTACAACGGGTGCCACTATGCAGAGTCCTGAGATGAGCATCATCTATCACTAGTTTTGAGAACTTAGAATTCTTCGGAAGGATATAAGGATGCTTTGAATCATATTCTAATGAAGATTGTTCAAGTCTGCCTCCAACTCTCATTAAACCAGTGTTATCGACAAAGGGGTTAAGACTTATAAGATTAGATTTTTCTAAAGGTCTGTTGTTTTGTAACCGCGCAAGCTCATTTTTGAAGGCATGTTTTTGAATGAGTTTTACCCACAACAAAAGGGATGAGTTGAGATCTTGAGGAGTTAAAAAAGATTGACAATTAGTAGGGATGGATTTTTTTGTTTTGGCAATGAACTTTTGACACCAGGCAGTAACACGTAATAGTTTTGACAGTGTTGAGAAGCGCTCTAGCATTTCTGGTTCTGGTTCAAAGTTTAAAATGTGGCAAGTTGATTGAGGGATTCGCAGTTCAGATTTCGCTGCTTGAGCTGGATCAAACGTCGTGGATGGCCATTCATAAACATCTTTATTCAGCCACGGAGGACCCGTCCACCAAAGCTTATGGTTGCTAAGGATTTTAGCAGTAACACCTCGTGAAGCACAGTCGGCTGGATTTTCATTTCCTGCTACATACCTCCACTTAGCGAGCGGTTCTGTCTCTTGTATAACACTTACTCTGTTACGCACAAAGTCTTTCCATTTTGAAGGTTGATTTGTGATCCAGGTTAGGGAAACCATAGAGTCAGTCCATAACCATGCTTGGGTAGATTCTAAGTTGAGCATTTTCCGAACATACTTTACAAGTTTTACTAGTAGTGTAGCAGCAGTGAGTTCCAGTCGAGGAATCGACATTGTCTTGAGAGGAGCTACTTTAGTTTTAGAAATAACTAAACTAACAGTGATATTTTCACGATTAACGATTCTTAGGTAGACTACAGCACTCATTGCAAGCTTAGAAGCATCTGAAAATCCATGAATTTCTACCGAAGATAGTTGGGTAAGACCAAGATAACGAGGTACTTTAACTAATGGCAAATATTGTAGGGAAGATAGTTGGGTAAGACCAAGATAACGAGGTACTTTAACTAATGGCAAATATTGTAGGTCAGCTTCAAGGAGTTTCCATTGGTCTTGCAAGTGATTAGGTAAAAGTTGGTCCCAATGAATTTTTACTAGCCAAAGTTGTTGCATGAAGTGTTTGAACCTTATGATAATAGGAGAGACAAAACCCAAGGGTTCGAATAACTGACCTATTTGAGAAAGAACGTTTCTTTTCGTGCATTTGTCTTTTGGACTTAGAGTAGGAAGAAACTGAAAATCGTCGCTGAATCGATTCCATGTAAGTCCAAGAGTACGTATACTGGAGGATTTGTTTATCAATAAGGAATTGCCTTTTTCGCAATTACTTTCCGATATGTATGATAGTACATTTTGATCATTGCTGATCCACTTCTGTAAAGGAAAACAACCTAATTTGCAAAGCTCGTCAGTCTGTTTTACTACTTCTCTGCACTCTTCAATCGAGTCTGCACCACCAAAAATGTCATCCATATATCTCCCTCTTGTCAACATTTCACTAGCTTGGGGATATGCATCACCGTGATCGACGATAAGCTGATTCATTGTTCTTAGGGCGAGAAAAGGAGCGCATGATAACCCATATGTAACAGTCTGTAGTTGAAATTTTCTAAGATGACCATTTTCCATCCAGAGAATTCTTTGAAGATCTCGATCACTAGGATGTACTAGAATCTGGCGATACATTTTCTCGATATCAGTGGCAAATACGAATTTATAGCGCCTAAACCAAGTGAGAATATCAGGTAGTTCTGTTTGGAGTTTTGGACCACTGTAGAGTACGTCATTCAAAGATAATCCTGAACTAGTTGGGAATGAGGCATTGAAAACTACTCTTAATTTAGTCGTCGTGCTAGAAGGACGCAAAACACCATGATGAGGTAGGTAATATATGGGAATGGTAGAATCTATTTCTTCAATAGTTTCAGACATGTGACCAAGGTCCTTGTATTCTTCTATGAAATTAGTATACAAGTTTTTGTACTCAAGATCGTTTGAGAGACGAGTATTTAGCTTTGTTAAAATTTGAAAGGCTGACGATTGAGATTCTCCAAGCTGATTGACTGTTTCCTTCAGGGGAAGTCGGACTTGATAGCGACCGGAAGGTTCTCTAGAAAATGTTGATTGATAATGTTCCTCACATACTTGATCATCAGGAGACTTGACTGATTCTTTAATTTGAGGAATTTCTTCCTGTACCCAAAATTTTTGAAGAAAATCATCAAGTTTGTTTTCAATCAAGCAATGAAACATTGATGAGGTAGATTTATTTTCCGTCATTCCAGTAGGTCCAGACAAGATCCAACCGAAAATTGTTGCTTGTGCTACTGGGGAGAGGGGTGGACCTTTAATTAGACCAGGAAGGATAATAGACGTGTAGATGTCTGCTCCTAGGACTAAATCTACAGATTCAGACTTCATGAAGGCAGGATCAGCTAGTTGAAGTCCCTTTATATGATTCCACGATGAATGATTTGGTGTTATCGATGGCAAATTTGATGTGAGATTTGAAAGGATGTGACAAGATAAAGAGCAGCTAACTTTGGTATCATACAGAGAACTAAGATTGATTGAAACTATACCACGAGTGGTTGGGGCTTGATGTCCACCGATACCAACAAGAGATACTGAGGAGTATGAACGCTTCAAATTGAGAGTTTGTACTAAGTATTCACTGATGAAAGAGATTTCAGATCCTTGGTCGATTAAAGCTCTGGCAATAACACAATTTCCCTCAGGACCAATTACCTTAACTTGAGCGGTTGCTAGGAGCACAGATTGTCGATTAATTTCCTTAAATGGAAGCATGTGATTAGAGGAGACGTGTGAGCTTGATGATGTGTTATCTGTAGATGAGATGAATTTGTTAGGGATGAGAGAACTTGACTTTTTTATATGAGGTATATTTGTAGTCTGGCTAACAGCGTCATGAATTAGAGTGTGATGTCTTTTCTTACATTGTAAACAAGATTTATTTGAGCGACAGTCCTTTAACAAATGTGAACCAAGACAGTTGAAACATAATCTTTTGTTCACAAGAACCTCTTTTCGTTGACTAGGTACTTTTTCACGAAACTCCTTGCAAAATGCTAAATAGTGATCTTTACTACACAGTTGACAATCATTTCCTATATTGGACTGAGATTTTGCTACAATTTGTGCTGAATGTTAAGATTTTGATGAGGTTTACCTTTACATTGTAGTGTAGTTACCGTTACATCGCTTGGTGGTGTTGTTCGTGACTCAATACTTTCCAGGGCTCGAATACGACCTTCGATGAAGGTCTGAAGATCTTCTAGGGTGGAGGGTTCTGTTGAGACTCCGTAACGAATCTCCCATGCTTCGTGTGTCTCTGGGTCTAGTCGTTGTACAATCATGTACACCAAGATGTGATCCCATTTATCTGTAGGAGATCCTAGCGCTTTGAGGGAACCTAAAGACTCATTGATAGTAGACATGAGGTGATTGAGACCACTAGCAGATTTATTTTCTAGAGGTTTTAAATTAAATATATCATCCAAATGCCTTTTGATTAAAACACGTTTGTTTTCATATCTAGTCACAAGTTTTTCCCAAGCTG